TCCGGTACCAGCAACAAGCCCCTCCCCTCCGCCGACAACATCTAGCTCAGAACGTGTTTCCTTGAATCTTAGGGTTCGCGAAGAGGACAAATCTGTTGGTTTGTTCAAGTACTTTCCAACTACGACGCGCGAGGAGCATCTCAAATCGGCATGGACTCCTTTCTCTTGGGAGCTAGAGAGTCGTGAGCGGGATGCCCATAGGGTTCGTGTTGAAGGAGTAGAAAGAGATATACGCCGACGTGAGGGAAATAGGGAACGGAAACAAATCCAACGTGCCCGTGAAAAGGCTGTGAAGAAGGCCACTACAAATCACACATCCGACATCACTCCTGCCCTCCCAATGACAGATCTTGCCGAGGTGTCTCGCCCATATCGCGAGATTCGAAGAGATGCGAGGGCGCATAAACCTAGTGTTCAACCTGGACGCAAAAGGAAGCATGAGGACACTGTTGCAGTTCGTGTCAACTGGCAACACCCCTTGTTATGGGCTACTATTGCTGAAGCTGCTGTTCGAGTTGGGATTGGCATGTCCCCCATAGAGATTGTGTGCAATCTTCAGCAGAGGGACTTAGCACGATTCCGGACATTGACTCCGCAGGTAGTTGGAACATGGATTGACCGCTCTGGTGACAAAGCTGTTTGGAGTGCGGCAACTCTTGCTCGTGTTCAGCGACGCAGCCTGCCCATGTACCAAAACACACGGAAACACATTCTATCCTCCTATCCCAACGTGGTCAAATTGATCATCAACGACCTTCAGTCTCTCCGTCAAGTTGGTGTTGCATTGGACACTCTCCACTGCCGTGGTATCATCCTTGCACGCCTGCAACACTCCGTTCCTGATATTTTTGGGCATGTCGCCAAGGACGGTTCTCGCTTCCGCTGCACGGAGAGTTGGGTGAAGGTGTTACGACAAGCGGTCGTGTGCGACTAGGATGATCTAAACAGCGACAACCACGACAGTGGTACCGAGTGCTGAGAGTCGTCGGCCTTTACAGACAAGCAAAGGTTGCGTACTCGAACGTAGCTCGTGGTGGTTAACGAGGGGTTACGCCGAGATGATAGCGGTTTACAGACAGTGAGAGGCGTCACTGAAGGTACGAGTCGATGTCGAGCAAGTGGCTTTAGCGGGACAAGGAGTTCAAGGGTAAACCTAGTTGATTAGACTAGCTTCTGGGGTGTACCTAGTAAGATTAAAGTAAGGAGCATCTACTTTAATCTACGACCTTATATAAGGCTACTCTATCGTATCTAAGCTCAGCTCGAAGCTGGGTTCTAATCTGCTTATCTACATGAGTCAGAGATAGCGTCCATGAGGCGGGCTTCTATCGTAGATAGCGTCCATGCGGTACGCTTCCATCAGAGATAGGATCCACGTGGTATCCTTCTATCAGTTATCTAAGGCAACACGATGCTTGCCTTCTATCTTCTATCTGTCCATGAGGCAGCACGAGGCTTGCCTTCTATCTTGATAACATTAATAGGTCTTCTAGACCTATGTCGTCATGTGTCGTCACGTGCGGTCCAGACCGCTTATCTAAGCCGGCAGTTGCCGCTTATCGTCTCTCATCTATCATCATCTATCGTCGTCTATGGAGCTGGTGAGACTCCGGTGTCGTCTATCGTCTATAGCCGTGCGGGTGGCAGAGGGCTGTCTGCCGGCGGGGGACTCGTGCCATGTTACTGTAACAGAAGGAGTTTCTTGTTGAGCATCTCAATTGGAGCTTCCGCAGGGCAACACGTGCAGCTCAAAAAACGCCACCAAATGTTGAGCAGCTTCTCCTCGATCAGTTCCTCCGTTTAACACTCACAATTCGTGACTGCGCAATCTTCGATGCTGCATTTGTCGTCAATATTGACCAGACGAATATTGTCTATCAGCCAGCAAACACCTCAACGTTTGAAACAATTGGCTCGAAGCAAGTCTCCGTGATCGGGCAGGAAGAAAAACGAGCGTTCACCGTCGTCAATGGAATATCTGCCAGAGGTCATGCCCTCCCCTTGCAACTGATCTACGAGGGGAAAACTTCACGCTCTATTCCTTCAAAGTCTACTCCGCAATACAAGGAAGCGATGGAACTCAAGTTCAAAATCTCATACTCAAGTACGCACACTTACTGGTCAACATTTCCCCTCATGTGCGAGTACGTTAATGACATTCTGGTGCCTTACTGGGAGGAGCAGAAAGTGTTACTCAATGCACCGGCTGACCAGGAGTGTATTTTGCACCTCGACGTGTGGAGTGTGCACAGATCAATTCAATTTCGCACGTGGATGGATATGACCTACCCTTGGATCAAATACCGTTTTGTCCCTGGGGGCTGCACTGGTGTTGGTCAGCCATGTGACGTCGGTATTCAACGACCATTCAAACTTGCAGTCAAACAGACACAGCATGCTGATATAGTCAACGAGTCTCTTGTTCGACTCGCCCAAGACAAGTCTGTGTCACTCATCAGACTTGACACAACAATTGGCACCCTTCGTGATCGGTCATTGCAGTGGGTTATAAATGGATATCACGCTATAAACAAGCCTGAGCTTGTAAAGCAGGTTTGTTTCTCATTTTCTCGCACTGTCGAATCTTGATGCACGGAGCTAAATCATGTTTTCAAGGCATTTTTCATGTGTAAGGCCGGGGAGAATTTCAATCTCTCATTCGCGAGCCTCGCAAGTCGAGAGGCATTGCAATATTTACGTGATGTTCAGAAGAATGATCCAGCTGGATGGACGAGGATTGCTACTGCTCAGTACAAGACTGTCAGCGTTGACCAGGCAACAAACTCCGAGTCAGAGAACGAGGCCACTGATACTACCGGAGCCGAATCCCCCTTCGACGATGCTAGCGAGCATGACCTCGATGCTGTTACAGGGATCTGTAACACCTGCTAGAGCCCCAGCTCTCCCTACACCTGCCCCCGCTCTGCTAGACTCCCCGCGCGGCGGTGCGCCGCCTGCGCCTAGAACAACAGCGGTCTGGACCGCTATGACCCCGCCTCATGGCGCTATGACCCCGCCTGATGCTATGACCCCGCCCCTGGCCTAGACGGCCTTGTACCTGTTCCATGGAGGCTGTACGCCTCATGGTCACCCTAGATCAGCGCATGTATACAGCATGTCGCTTCATGAAGATCCGGAGCGCCCTTGGCGCCTCATGTATGAAGACCCGGAGCGCTTGGCGCTTCTTGTACCTATGCGCAGCTGCACTTGGTGCTGCATGCTTGATCAGAGGTTAAGCCTCATGTACCTTATCTAACCTCATGTCTGGTTATCTTAGATGTACGATATACTATAGATTACAGACTGAGCTTGAACACCTACATACACTATGTATAAGTAGGTACATTGTTGTAGATTATACCTCACTTTAATCTACTAGGTTCTACCAAGAACTTGCTCATCTAAGCTTAACTGCTTCCTTGTGTGAGACCGCACTTCATCGTCGTCCCCGTACGACTTTGCACGTATCCGCTAGCCCTGCATCTCGACGAGCGCCGTCTTACCGAGATCGCCGGAGGAATCCTTGACGTTCCGTCAAGGCTAGACCACGCTCAGCTTCAGTAGACTCACTCGAGTCGTCGCTGAGAAGACCTATCCTAGTTCGCACACGCCGACCTACAGTCGACGTAACAGATGCCAGTGACGTGCCAATGGATGCACTCCTTGATCATATGGCTTCCGGGGGTGAACACGTCCGTTCTGACTGCCGTATCGATGCAGATGGCGGACTTCTGTGTTCAAACCACTCCGAAGTCTATGATGTGGGTGACATTACTGCCAAAGATGTGGAGAGTGGCTCGAATAGTGTTCCGAAGGTTGATTACGGGCGTGGAAAGCGTAGACGCATCGCAAATTCGATGTATGATGATTTCTGGTCCCATTAGCGCATAACCTATGTTTTTTTTCCCATATGTCACAAATTAGCTTCATCCCACCAAAAATTCATGTGACAGTCACACCAAATAGATTCGATTCGTTAAGGGCTGTGACCTGTGACGAACCTAGTGTCGTATCTCTACAGTATCGGCCACTGATGATAGACAACGATATATCAGCCTCTGACAGACAATGATATGGGCTGATACATCGCTAGCAGGATGATACATCACTTGCTAGCAGGATGATATATAACCCTAACGCAGGACAACTAATACATCACTGTGTAGGGATTGAAGGTGTGGATGTATCACGTACCTTCTACAATCACAGTATATGATACATTATACTGCCAGGAACTTCTGGGGGGTGTTGGGCCTCGAAGAGGATGATGTAGAGGGAACGATAGGTACTTGTAAGGATGTAGACGTAATGTTAGTAGTAGGAATAGACGAAGCGTTGGAGGAGGAGGAAGAGGTGGTTACGGGAGTACTGGTTGGTAGACGATTAGCGGGAACGTTAGCGAAAGAAGGGGGAACAACAAGAAGAGATTCGTCGTTCTCAACATTGGTGTCGCCTTGGTTGCGACGCGTTTGGCGCGCTTGATTGCGTGTGGTGATACTTGTGTTCTCGGCGATAATTTGATCGCGAGAAAGAGATCTACCGATAGGGGGATTAGAGTTAACCATGGTGGTGAAGTATTGTAAGATTGAGAGTAGTGGTAACGAAGCGAAAAAATTGACTAAAAATCAGAGCCGAGTACCAGAAGGTGGTGGTGCGAGGCGAAAAGATTCGAGAAATGTTTGGACAGAAGCACGCACTTATCTATGTCTTAGCGCACGGGCCTGCTGCTATGAAAGTGCGGGAAGTGTCAAAGGATTTTCACGTGCGGCTTACAAAGCCCTAGATCAACGTGGTGTGCTCGCGAGCTCGCATGCTCGTTGATCGTCCAATGTTCCATATATATATATAAAATGAGTACAGCTGGATGAACTCAGAGACATGTCGTGCTTATTCCTGGCGCGACTTCCTCATTCTAAACATGGAATTAATATCTGACAGTAATAATTCTGAACAAGAGCATACCCTAACTCAGGGCTAGCGCTGCTTCTGTGATGCAGTGGTCAGGCCTCAGGCGCCGAGGACGGTTTGTTTCTAAGCATATCGAGATGCTTGTTGACGTCGTGCCACAATCGTGGGACACCGCACATAACTCGGTTGACGGCAGGAAGCATGGAGTAAATGATGCGAGCAACAGTTTCAACATTCACGGCTTCAAGCCCACACGAGTCCACGGTCAGATATCTCAGGGAAGTATGTTGGAACGACTCGACTTCAGGCTCGATATCGATATTCCGAGCGTCGACCAATACTTGCAGGTCTTGCAACTGCGGACATAAACGAAGCGCCGCGAACAACCCGCGAAATGTAACGGTAGCTGGAGAAGAATCCCAATTCACCAACGATAGGGAGTGAATATGCGGCCAATTTGTCATGGCCTCAAAAAAAAGGTCATCGTCGAAGTAGATGGGGCGATGAAAATATAGCTTCAGCGTTCGCAGTTCCTTGAAGCAGAAAAACTGTCTGACTGCCATCAACGAGTCGCTTGTGTGTTCCTGAATTGTATCGTAGAAAAAATGTCGATGTGTTCAAGGGTCTGGGATGCTTTACACAGTGACAGTGCACGGAAAAGCTGCTCAGCCTCTGCCCAAGGTAAAACATGGACACGCATCTCGAACTCCTTGAACGAAGGGAATTTGAAATGTTGTATGATTGCGACAGCGGATGCGGCTTCTATTCCACCTGAGAGCGAAAGAGTCGTGAGGTGAAGGAAAGTTGCAAAATCGAGATTGTCCAAGGGGTAATGAACATTAATCATGCGTAATGTGTAAATCTTCACCTCGAGAAGGGTGGGGATGGTAGAAAGGTGCATCCATGCTGCCGAGTCGAATGGCGGACATTGCAGATGTCTGAGCCTCTTGCATGAACGAAGGGTTTCAGAGAGTCGCACCCCGCTGCTACCCCCATGGACGATAAACTCCTCCATATCAGGACAGCGTGGCCCAATATATTTCATATCTAAGTGGAGTTCCTCGGATACATAACAACGGCGCAACGTTGGGGGCAGGAAAAAGCGCAAGTCTCCTATTTCCGTGCATAGAACCAACCAGGATAACGACCGCAGATTCGGAAACACACATGTCTTGATGGGAAGGGTCGTAAGAAGGTGAAAATAATTGCTGGTTGATAGTATGGTTATATTGCGCACACGAGCGGAATGGCGCAAAAACTGATGGAACTCGTGCTCGACTAATGGGTCAACGTCCTTGGACCAATTACGGTAATACTGTATTTAGATGCTCGATCAGCGAACGAACGAACGAACACAGAATGATGAGGTTGCTTTCAATACTCAGCACTGACCACGGACTCGGAATCATATATCACTGAATGTAGCCTCGTGACACAGCCTAACAGTGGTCTTAACCCATGTATGTTAGACCAAAGCAAATCCATTGCAAGCTCGTGAAAGGCTCTGCATGTCAAGGCGAGCGATGCAAGGGATTTTTGTGTCAATGATTTCAATTGAGGCCCGACCAATATTTCTGAAATCGGGGGTTGATTCAAATTGTCGAATATCTGCAGGAGTAATTCTGAGACTAGCAAAGCACGATGCATCGATGGAGGAGGTGTATGGCAGGATGCTTGAAGACTAGCGGAGATTTGAATCTCAACTTGCCTCCTATTTTAACCCTTTGTATTGTCGTCACTCAGTGGGTCTTTCTGGTCAGGTTTTTTCATGCCATGTTGTGTTTTGGAATTTCATTGCCAGCCATAAGTTCTCACAGTTGATTCGCGCACGCTTGACCAGTATTGTGGCTATCCATTCATACCGCAATGTCTCTTCTGTAACATCGCAAATTGTCATTCGGTGTCCAACCCTGTGCTTGATATTCCCATTGACACCCGCGCATCTCACTTCTTCTCACCATGATTAACACTGTCTATTCGAACAAGACCATGAGCCGAAAGTCTGGTATCTACTCAGTCTTTTCGTGGGGTCAGTGCAGATTTCGCTGTACATCTTAGTACCAAAGGTCTGTCTGCTCCTGTCGTCCCTGCCCAGCACCATGTTACATCATCCCCTGATCTCCTTGTTGCCCACCGTGTATCCAGTCATACCCACCACCTTCTCGCAGGCCACAGTATCATACGCACACTTTTCATTGCATCCTACCTTTTTCAGCGCCTGCCACCACATCAATCTAGTATGATTTCCCCCTTCTGTTAGTCTGGATAATTTAGTGTTACTCACAAACTGACTGGCTCAGCCCGTCTGGCAGTCTTTTAAACGGTGGCAATGGCGGCTCTCTCGTGTAAGTCAGTGTTCGTTTGCCATATTTCACACTTACGCCAGCGTTTTTTTAGTTTAGTTTCATTCCTTCAGTCTCGTCGAACCTAATGTGACCCCCATCCCATTCCCGCGATACCATATATTCCTGTGGCACCATCGGCACTAACTACTATTACTGCCATCGCAAGTGTGACTCCTGCGCCCTCCACTGTCAATGCAAAATCAAAACCAAAGCCTCGTCTGGTCAAAGCAAAGACTCCCGCAGTGCCGAAAGATCTGAATGTACCAAAGGCAATGCGCATTCAGAAGACAATCAATGCATAGTATGTGTATATTCTTAAGTCGAGATTAGTTAGGGTCGCGCAACTGGTTCCAAATCTGTTGATTGTGCGAAAGGAGAAGGTCTCATTCGAGATATGCTGTTTTCAGCTTCCATGACCCCATCGCTGTTCTCTGCTGATGCTACTCAATTATTACGTCTGGTTCGCGATCATGGCCTCAAAATCGAATCATCACGAGAAGAAATGAAGATCAAGCTTTTGCAACATCTGCTGTCTGGAGTTTGTATTCACGCGGGAGCTGGACCAAGTGGTCCCAAGGGATTTCTCAAGCATTTTTGGGTGTTCCTTCTCTGCTTGGTTATGTAGTTCAAGAGGTGTCGGTTTCTCTATCATCGACATTATCTGTTGCGTCTCTTAAATATATTGTCTGTGCTGTGGGAGAAGAAACTACTGATTTCATGACGATTTGTTGCAATCATCGCCTTTTTCGCATCCATAATATTCAGTATTTGACGGACGTGTTTTGAGAAAGGAAACTATGAAGGTAGCGGGCTTTGCCACGCATGTGGCCTTAGGCGACTTATATTAGCAATGATGGCCATGGGGAGAGTAGTATTGAATACAGAGATGAGTGAACGAAGTAGAGAGACAACTGCACTGCAGAGAGGTAATGGGGAGAGTACTAGAAACGAGGTAAGGGCTTTGTGAAACGAATCAGACGAGGTTTCATCAGATATTGATTCGGTTTGTGTGTGGAAGGTCTGGTTTTTGTTGCGCCAGCAGCAGGAGAGGCGCGGGTCTGGACCGAGTAGCGTCAGTGAACCGACGAGTCCTTGATATCGTAGGCATGTGAATTGTAAACAGGCAGAATCCTGTCAGGTGTATGCAAGAATGAGTATGTAATGACCCCTAGTTCTGTAACGCTAGGTCAATCCTTTTGAATACCAGGTTACGGTGGCTTGGTTGAAGTATTTGATACAGATCGTACAGATGACTCAGAAATTGCATAAAGTACAAATGTTCCATATATCCAAAAGAAAGAAAGAAGAAAGAAAGAAAGTACAGCTGGATGAGCCCAGAGACACATCTTCCTTATTCCCGGCGCGAATTCCTCATTCTAAACACGAAATTAATATCTGACTAGTAATAATTCCGAACAAGAGCGTACCCTAACTCAGGGCTAGCGCTGCTTCTGTGATGCAGGGTTCAGGCGCCGAGTACGGTTTGTTTCTAAGCATATCGAGATGCTTGTTGACGTCGTACCACAATTGTGGGACGCCGCCATTTGAACACACAACTTGGCTGACGGCGGGAAGCATGTAGTAAATGATGCGAGCAACAGCTTCAACATTCACGGTTTCGAGCTCACGCGAGTCTATGATCAGATTGTTCAGGGAAGTATGTTGGAATGACTCGACTTCAGGCTCGATATCGATATTTCGGGCGTCGATCGATACTTGCAGGTCTTGCAACTGCGGACATAGACGAAGCGCCGCGAACAGCCCGCGAAATGTAAGGGTAGCTGGAGAAGGATACCAGTTCATCAATTGGAAGGAGTGAATATGCGGCCAAGTTGTCATGGCTTCAAAAAGAAGGTCATCGTCGAGGTAGATGGGGTAATGAACAGATAGCCCCAGCGTTCGCAGTTCCTTGAAGCAAAGAAACTGCTTGACTGCCGTCAACGAGTCGCTTGTGTGCTCCTGGGTTCTATTGCGGGAAGAAATTTTGATGCTTTCAAGGGTCTGGGAGGCTTTGCACAGTGACAGTGCACGGAAAAGCTGCTCAGCCTCTGCCCAAGGTAAAACACGGACATGCATTTCGAACTCCTTTAGCGAAGGGAATTTGGAATGTTGTATGATCGCGACAGCGGATGCCACTTCTATTCCACAGAGCGAAAGAGACGTGAGGCGAAGGAAAGTTGCAAAATTGAGATTGTCCAAGGGGTAATGAATTGTGCGTGGTGTGGAAATCTTCACCTCGAGAAGGGTGGGGATGGTAGAAAGGTGCATCCATGCTGCTGAGTCGAACGGCGGACATTGCAGACGTCTGAGCCTCTTGCATGAACGAAGGGTTTCAGAGAGTTGCGCCATGTCGCTATCCTCATGGACGGTAAACTCCTCCATATCAGGACAGCGTGCCCCAATATATTTCATATCTAATGGGACTTCCGATACAGAACAACAGCGCAAGGTTGGTGGCAGGAAAAAGCGCAAGTCTCCTATTTCCGTGCGTTGAACCAACCAGGATAACGACCGCAGATTCGGAAATACACGTGTCTCGATGGGAAGGGCCGTAAGAAGGCGAAAATAATTGCTGGCTGATATGATTAGATGGCGCACACGAGCGGAATGGCGCAAAAACTGATGGAATTCGTGCTCGGCTAATGGGTCAGCGTAGTACTGGGACCAGGAATACTGTATTTAGATGCTCAATCAGCGAACGAACGATCAGAGAACGATAAGGTTGCTTTCAATACTCGGCACTGACCTTGGACTCAGGATCATATATCACTGGATGTAGCCTCGTCACACAGCCTAACAGTGGTCTTAACCCATGCATGTTAGACCAAAGAAAATCCATCGCAAGCTCGTGAAAGGTTGTGCATGTCAAGGCGAGCGATGCAAGCGATTTGCGTGTTGATGATGGAGACCAGCCAAAGATTTCTGAACCCGGGGGTTTACTCAAATTGATGAGTATCTGCACGAGGATTTCTGAGACTAGCAAAGCACGATGCATCATCGATGGAGGAGGTGGGAGGTGTATATAGCAGTTGTACGTATACCTTCGATGCTTCTACTTATTTGATTTGTCGTAACTCAACTTGGTGGAGACCCGCCGAGATAACGGCGGGAAACACTGAAAGAATCGAACCGGAAATAATATGACAAAACCGTGGATTTTAAGAGCGTGATACAAAAGAGCAGTGGTAGTAGGTAAGAGACCCGAGTCTAGGGTCTTCGAGACATGACATTGATATAAGTGATCCGAAAGGTCACGTGGTGTGTTATGTAAGTATCAGGTAAGCAGCGAGCTTACACTTGGGGCGCGATTGGCCACGGATGGCAACCTCCTATTTTACATCCTTTGTATTGTCGCTCGATCAAGAAGCCTGATGGTGGGGAGAGTCAAATGAATGAAGTAGAGAGTCTACTGCAGAGAGGTAATAGCGAGAGTACTAGAAACGAGGTAAGGGCTTTGTGAAACGAATCAGACGAGATATTGATTCGGTTTGTGTGTGGGAAGGTCTGGTTTTTGCTGCGCCAGCGCAGGGTCTGGACCGAGTACTAAGTACTAAGTACTAATCAGTGAACCGATGAGTCCTTGATATTGTAACCGTGTGAATTGTAAACGGGTAGAATCCTGTATGCAAGAATGAGTTATATCATTACCCCCCTAGTTCTGTAACGCTAGGTCAATCCTTTTGAATACCAGGTTACGGTGGCTTGGCTGAAGTATTTGATACAGATCGTACAGATGACTTGAAAATTGCATAAAGTACAGATGTTTCCATATATCAAAAAATGAGTACAGCTGGATGAGCCCAGAGACATGTTTTGCATATTCCCGGCACGTCTTCCTCATTCTAAACATGAAATTAATATCTAACAGTAAAATTTTTGAACAAGAGCGTACCCTAACTCAGAGCTAGCACTGCTTCTGTGATGTAGGGGTCAGGCGCCGAGTACGTTTTGTTTCTAAGCATATCGAGATGCTTGTTGACGTTGTACCACAATCGTGGGATGCCGCCATTCGAACACATAACTTGGTTGATGGCAGGAAGCATGGAGTAGATGATGCGAGCAACAGCTTCGACATTCACGCCTTCGAGCTCACACGAGTCTACGGTCAGATTTTTTAGGGAAGTATGTTGGAATGACTCGACTTCAGGCTCTATATCGATATTCCGAACATCGACCGATACTTGCAGGTCTTGCAACTGCGGAGATAGACGAAGGGCCGCGAACAACCCGCGAAATGTAAGGGTAGCTGGAGAAGGACGCCAGTTCACCAACGATAGGGAGTGAATATGCGGCCAAGTTGTCATGGCTTCAAAAAGAAGGTCATCGTCGAGGTAGATGGGGTAATGAACGGATAGCCCCAGCGTTCGCAGTTCCTTGAAGCAAAGAAACTGTCTGACTGCTGTCAACGAGTCGCTTGTGTGCTCCTGAGTTCTATTGCGGGAAGAAATTTTGATGCTTTCAAGGGTCTGGGAGGCTTTGCACAGTGACAGTGCACGGAAAAGCTGCTCAGCCTCTGCCCAAGGTAAAACACGGACATGCATTTCGAACTCCTTTAGCGAAGGGAATTTGGAACGTTGTATGATCGCGACAGCGGATGCCACTTCTATTCCACAGAGCGAAAGAGACGTGAGGCGAAGGAAAGTTGCAAAATTGAGATTGTCCAAGGGGTAATGAATCGTGCGTGATGTGAAAATATTCACATCGAGAAGGGTGGGGATGGTAGAAAGGTGCATCCATGCTGCTGAGTCGAACGGCGGACATTGCAGACGTCTGAGCCTCTTGCATGAACGAAGGGTTTCAGAGAGTAGCGCCCTGTCGGTATCCTCATGGACGGTAAACTCCTGCACATCAGGACAGCGTGCCCCGATATATTTCATATCTAATTGGAGTTCCGATACAAAACAACGGCGCAACGTTGGGGGCAGGAAAAAGCGCAAGTCTCCTATTTCCGTGCGTTGAACCAACCAGGATAACGACCGCAGATTCGGAAATACACGTGTCTCGATGGGGAGGGCCGTAAGAAGGTGAAAATAATTGGTGGCTGATATGGTTATATTCCGCACACGAGCGGAATGGCGCAAAAACTGATGGAACTCGTGCTCGACTAATGGATCAGCGTACTGGGACCAGGAATACTGTATTTAGATGCTCAATCAGCGAACGAACGAACAGAGAACGATAAGGTTGCTTTCAATACTCGGCACTGACCTTGGACTTGGGATCATATATGACTGAATGTAGCCTGGTCACACAACCTAACAGTGGTCTTAACCCAGGTATGTTAGACCAAAGCAAGTCCATCGCAAGTTCGTGAAAGGTTGTGCATGTCAAGGCGAGCGATGCAAGGGATTTTCGTGTCGGTGACTGAGGCCAGTCTAATGTTTCTGAAATCGGGGGTTGATTCAAATTGATGAATATCTGCACGAGGATTTCTGAGACTAGCAACGCACGATGCATCGATGGAGGTGTATAGCAGTTACCTTGGATGCTTCTACTTATTTGATTTGTCGTAAGGCTAGCGGAGATTTGAATCTCAACTTGGGCCGCGATCGGCCGTGTATACGTTATGAACCTCCTATTTTACCAATTTAGCATCCTTTGTATTGTCGCTCGATCAAGAAGCCATGATGAATTGATGGTGGAGAGAGTGAAATGAATGAAGTAGAGAGTCTACTGCAGAGAGTTACATAATAGCGAGAGTACTAGAAACGAGGTTAGTGTGTGGGAAGGTCACTAGTAGGCCAGTGCAGGAGAGGCACGGGTGTCTGGACCGAGTACGTGATCCAGAAAGCACGGCTTGATCAAAGAGAAGAGACAGACCTTCACCGAGAGGGGATGAGCGCAGAGGACAGAACGGGGGCCTCACCCTGGACGTGTGCTCGACTATGATCGAAGCAGCTTACAAAGGTTGTATTTCACGTGTCCATGTCATCCACTCTGCGCTCATCAACTCACCTATGGCCATCAATCGCATGTTCATAACCGCAGCTTTGTTAGAGTCTATTCTCTATGGTATGCTTCCTTTTTCTGCGCACCGTACAGATTTAGTGCTGATAATACACCTGACAGGGGTCAAGTAAGTTCGCAGTGGACAGGCTTGCACTATCCTTATTTTCATCAACAGCTGCGTGCTTTTTGGCGTATGTATGTATGCCCTGTTGAGTGCCCCCAAACAGCTGCATTGGTTCGTATCATCACTTGTTAAATCATTCCCCAGCATTCACCATTGGATCAGGATCTTGAATACTCTTTTATGCGTTTTCCACATTTCAATCGCCACAGCACACAACATCCTCTCCCTTCTTATCTTTCTCGAGGCCTTTACAAATCCTGCTATAGTATCCATTCCAGGCGGTACTATCATATACTTGTTCAAGAGCACTCCTTTCACGGAGACGATGGCGGGATTGTTTCTTCTCAACGTGCATATCATATTTTGGTCGTAAATCCCCTCTCATCGTTACTTTTTTCAGGGCTTCGCTCTAAATTTACTGCTAGTGAGTAACTACTGGCGTGTCGAGGTGTCCAACCTAACACATCCAACAACAGATCTGGAGGCTTTATGTGGTTTGGAATTGCAGGTGGATCCTTGCTTTTGTCTTGGTAAGATATCTGATTTCATCTTACTCGTGGTTCTTTTGACGAGCGGCGGTACCGCTAGCTAATTCTGGAAGCTGCACAATTCGGTAGGCTGGTTAGCTGTCGGATCAACCACTCACAATACTCATTACCCCTGTTAGCAACTGGTGTCGCAAACTTGGTCATGCTCATAACCAATCGCATCTTCTCGAATACTGCCATAGCTTTGGGGAATACTAGTTGCGCATGCGATCTTGCTCTTACTATCAGTGTCACGTCCGGAATCGCATATCGTCTTTGGCTCGCGAGCCGAGATGTATCTGGTCTAACCAGTCACAATTTCTACAAAACTGCCATATATACTGTCATCGGGTCCGGTGCGATCTATACCAGTAGCATCGTGGTCGTGTGCGCTCTGTACCAGTCCAAAAGCAATGCTTTTAGCGTGGCAATTAATGTTGCTACCCAGATTTCTGTGCGCACTTTATGCTGCTTCATCTTTTTAGTCTCACATTCTTTTAGACTTTGACACCACTTCTTATCATCGCCAGTGTTAGCTTTGGCCTGATGCACAGTGCATATCATGAGCCATCGACATTTACGGAGCCCACTTTCACTCGACCAATCCAGGTTACAATCACCCAGGAGACCCGTACCCACCCTATATACACTATGGATTCTAGTACAGAATCTACTGAAAAGACTCAGAGTGTACGGGCATATCATGACGACGTATAGTGGAATTGGCTAGGAGCATCGCACGGATTCAATTTCTCCTATCGATGGAGGGAGTGTAGCCGTGCCAAAAAGCAGGGAGTTGCTGCGCTTGCGTTGGAAACTCGAGGAATCCAGGTGAAGATCATTCAGTGACTCCAGGAAGAACTAACAATCTTTGAACACACGCGACGACGTTTAGCCATACAAGTGCAGCCTTCTGCTATTCCTGGCACGCAGATTTTCCTAGGCCGGATTGGCCTTTGTGCGAGTTCCGGAAGTTTAGCGATGGGCGGAGCCATAGATCTACGGTGGCACGCTGATAAGCTTTCTGATGGGCGAGGGATTGCTATTATCCATGCTGGGATGGGCAGTAGCTGATTAAATACACTCTGGCGTTTGACACCGCAATTGGAGTACCAATGTGAATAGCTGTCACGTGATGTTGTATGAAATATTTGTGATTAGTGTTGTAATGCATCCTGCTCCTTCTGAAGAGTCCGAAAGCATCTAACATGCCTGAGATTACGATTCTCAAACGACCGAGGGATGAAGCTGTCATAACCCAGCGGATGTTCTTCAAAAAGACTGCCCGAGGAAAAGTTATCAAAGGTACGTCACGGATTCATTTCATCACGATGCTATGTATTGAAGGACGTTTCTCCTTAGTCCTACGCGAACGGTACCTTCGAGACGATATATCCTGCGGCGTCAACGGCTGTAAGGCATGCTCCGCAACAGCTCAGACCGTCCTTTCGCATTCTGGGGACACCACCCACAAAGAGTTCCCCACAGGGCACTATATCCTGCCCGATACCAATGTATTTCTTGCACAGGTATGCACACGAGTACGAGGCCGTGTACGGCGCTGATACTTTACAGATGGACTTGATCGAATCCAATTACTTCACACCACCTATCATCATCCTACAAACCGTTATGGAGGAAGTCCGTCACCGGTCGTTACCCTTGTATAGTCGCCTCAAGGCCCTCACGACAACTGACGAGCGGAAAGTATGGGTATTCTATAATGAGTTCAGGTCGTGAGTCGTTTTCATGGGTGCACCTGTTTTGCCCTGTTGCGGTTGACGATATGTTGCTTCACCTCCTGTTCTGAACCGAGCCCAGTCTTTGGTCTTAAAGTCGTGTTCCATGCTATCTTCGAATCTTGGCGTTCTCATGAAGTGTTGCAAATTTCCCTCATTACTGATATATGCGTAATAGAGAGACCGCTATCGTGCGAGAAGACGACGAGACGCCGAACGACCGGAACGACCGAGGTCGGTGAAGCTCATACTTGTATCTTTGTGTATACGAATAAAAACCCCATAGGTATCAGGAAAGCCGCAGAGTGGTACAACGCGCATCTAACACTAGCACACCCTCCGATCCGAGGTCAACCAAATGTAGCGCTACCAAAAGTTGTATTGATCACAGACGACTTTGCGAATCGCCAAAAAGCAGAAAAGGAGAAAATCCCATGTATTTCAGGTATGTATCGTCTAATATACACTTTGCCTCGCTTTCTCAAAGAAGTCGTAAAGTGCGCAATTATGTGGACGGGATGAAAAACTCGGATCAACTGCTTGATTTACTTTCGGCGACTGGCTCGGATGAGGTGGAGCCTACTAGAGCTGTTGCAGGGCGTACTGCGCTCTATGATGATGTGCGGTGAATATGGCTTTGCAGTTTCTTGACACTTATATCGCGCTTTATAGTATCTTCCTATGTCTACCCTCGTAGCGGGAGTCAAAGCTGGTCAACTCCATCAAGGCCACTTCAATGCAAATCAATATAACTACCTCGAGGTTTGTGATGAATGCTTTCCGCTCATGCCAGTGCTGATTTCTTCCAGGGTAACGTTCCTGTCCCTGCATTCACGAAACCTGTCCTTCTAGTGGGCAGGGAAAATATGAACCGAGCAGTCCAGGGCGATGTCGTGGTGGTCGAAGTATTCAACGAAAGAGAATGGAAAGCACCGACTGACGAGGTCATCGACCAGGAAGGCAAGCCATCTTAGTTAGACTGGACCAACTAAATGCTAAGTCTTCTTCTCAGCGACACTAAAAACGATGATGCAGAGGACTCAGAGGAAGAGGGCGACGACCTGATGGTGCACGAGCATGAATCCAAGGCTCTTCGCGCCGAGCATACGAAGAAGGCTCCTGCAGAAAAACAACCGACCGGTCGAGTGGTCGGCATCATTAAGCGCAACTGGAGAGCGTATGTCCCTCTCCTACTTCTATATTCAGTAGATTCACATGTTCTTTTGACACAGATATGTTTGTCACATCGACTCTACAAGTCTCACCTCAAGTAATGCTACGTCACTCGGGCTTCAAACAGTGTTTGCTACTCCAGTCTCAAGACTTCTCCCTCGCATCCGGCTACGTACGCGCCAAGCACCGTCACTTGTTGGAAACAAAATATTGGTAACAATCGACCGGTGGGAAATCACCTCTCGTTATCCAGAGGGTCACTTCGTTCGTACGCTTGGAAAGGCAGAAAGCAAAGAGGCCGAACAAGAAAGTCTCTTGTTAGAATTTGAGGTGCCTTATAGGCCCTTCGGAAAGGCGATTCTCGACTGTCTGCCTCCAGAAGGCGAGCAATGGGTTGTTCCGCCTAAGAGTGCAGCATATCCGGAATGGAGAGACCGTGCAGACCTCAGAGATCTCATCATCTGCAGTATAGATCCCCCAGGTAATGCTTATTGGATACTGCGTAAAACAGGTCTGCTGACTTTCTGGATCAGGCTGTCAGGATATTGATGACGCCTTGCATGCGCGTCGTCTGACGAATGGCAATATCGAAGCTGGCGTTCGTAAGTTTTACTTTTGCTGTTCCTAGTTTACTCTCATGATTGTCAACAGATATTGCGGATGTGTCTCACTTTGTCCACCCGGAGACTGCGATGGACAATGAGGCTGCTGCACGTGGATCTACGGTCTACCTTGTTGACAAGCGCATTGACATGTTACCTGCGCTTCTTGGCACTAACCTTTGCTCCCTCAGGCCGCATGTTGAGCGATTAGCGTTTTCGGTCATCTGGGTTAGCCAAATCCCTATGATGCGCTCACTAGTGCTTGACTGAACTTGTTATAGGAAATGACCGTAGATGCTGAAATAGTAGACGTCCGTTTCACAAAATCTGTTATCGCATCCAAAGCTGCATTCGAGTACGGAGAGGCGCAACTTCGAAAAGATGACCCGTAAGCGAGACATATCTCGACCTATTTTCTTACAAAGCTGACGATTCGAATGTAGAAAACTAAACGACAACCTCACGCAAAGCATTCGACTATTGAACTCCCTTGCGCAAAAGTTGAAAGCTAAGCGGATGGCGGCTGGCGCGCTCAATCTCGCATCACCCGAGGTCAAGATTCACCTTGACAGCTCCGAGTCATCCGATCCGGTAGATGTGGAACAAAAAGCGTTACATGAGACGAACTCTCTCGTTGAAGAATTCATGTTGCTGGCCAATACCAGCGTAGCGAAAAAGACTCAAGAATCCTTCCCACAAACATCAGTACTAAGGTATGCTTCTCTCGTCTGCTGTATACACTTTCTCAACCTTTCACAGACGGCATCTGCCGCCCCCACCTACAAACTTTGAGAAATTGCAAGATATCTTGCAAAAGCGAAAGGGGCTCAAACTCGACGTTTCCAGCTCGGCTGCATTAGCAGATTCCCTTGACAAA